GGCAAATTGTACAATGACGTACATAAGGCAACGCCAACAAGGAAATGCACAGAACAGACAAGGGATGCGTTTAACTAGCGCGTGACTCACCGGAGGTATGACAAACCGTGACGTGGAAACGCTGAAAGCTGACGGCGAGATGCCGACGACGAGGCGGCCGACAGCAAAGCGGCCGACGGCGAGGCGGCCGACGGTGAGGCGGCCGACGGTGAGGCGGCCGACGGCGAGGCGGCCGACGGCGAGATGCTGGCGGCGAGGCGGCCGACGGCGAGGCGGCCGACGGCGAGATGCTGGCGGCGAGATGCTGGCGGCGAGGCGGCCGACGGCGAGGCGGCCGACGGCGAGATGCTGGCGGCGAGATGCTGGCGGCGAGATGCTGGCGGCGAGGCGGCCGACGGCGAGGCGGCCGACGATGAGGCGGCAGACGGAAAAGCGGCCGACGGCGAGGCGGCCGACGGCAAAGCGGCCGACGGCAAGGCGGCCGACGGCGAGGCGGCCGACGGCGAGGCGGCCGACAGCGAGGCGGCCGACGGCGAGGCGGCCGACGGCGAGGCGGCCGGCGATGAGGCGGCAGACGGAAAAGCGGCCGACGGCGAGGCGGCCGACGGCGAGATGCTGGCGGCGAGGCGGCCGACGTAAGTCCTCGCCCAGGCTCGCTCAGACCGGCGGGGGGATCGGGCGGGAGGTGGGCGGGGAAATACACACACACACACACACACGCTGTTAATCAGCTAGCAGGGGACGCAACGAGCACAGACTTTGCACGGCAAAACAACATGAGCAGCTGCGCACAAAATGCAGAAACATACTAATAAGCACACAGGCGGATCGCGGGCAGTTTCGAATATTCCATCACAATTAAAACAGTAGCACCCCCACACATACCCACACATACGTAAACATGCGTGCGCGTGCACACACACACACGCGCGCGCGAGAGAGCACATTTCACCCACATTTGAACACCAACATACAAACATACATACATACATACAATTGCGCACAAATACAAGCCACTGAACACCGCAACAATATCCATCGGCCGGCTTTGCAGCTTCTATCTGAGTTTGCTGACCTTATCTTTGCAGTTTGCTGCCTTTGTGCTTTTGCTGTCGTTGTCGCTGTTGCTGCTTGCCGGCACGACAGGAGAAAACACCGCG